GGGGGGGGTTCGAACGGTAGTGACCCCCTCCGTTTTCGGATCGGAGGGGGGGGGGGGGAGGGGTTTCGCTAGAACGTAACTGGTAGTGACCCCCCCGGTTTCGAGCGGGAATGGGGGGGGGGGAGGGGTTAGGGGGGGGGGGTTTTGCCGGGGGAGAGGGGGGGAGGGTTCCAGCAGAGGGGGGGGGGATTTTCGGAGGGGGGGGGGGCGACCCCCGGGTTCCGGAGGAAAAAGTTGGCAATTTGCCCCAGTAAAGCGGCGGTGGATCACGCTCTCTCATACATATTCATATATGTATGTATGTATACATACATATATATATATATATATATATATAGCTGTCCAGGTCTCCTCTTCTGTCTTCCTCCCTTCTCGAGGGGGAACGTGAGGGGGGGACCTGCTCATTGGGGGGACATCGAGCTAGAATCGGCGATACATTGCCGATAGATCGGCGATAGGCCGCCTCCACCGAGGAAAGATGACCCGCTCAGGGGGGGAACATCGAGCTAGCATCGGCGATACATCGTCGATAGATCCGCGATGTGCTGCCTCCGGAAAGATGACTCTGATCTCGGCGATGGTGGCAAGATTCGGGCATTTTGGGCGGCCCAGGGAGAGTGCCACCAGCACCAAAATCCAGCATCACCGTCCACCAGTTGAGGCAACCATCCCGATTAAGATGCGATATCTGGGAGGTCAACAGCATCATCGGCGCTGGTAGATCCGTGGTCGGCAACTGGCATCATCCCGCTTTATCCCGGGCTAATATCAGGCTCGATCCTGCCTAATTTGGCCGAGTCCGGCTTTTCGGGTGTTGCCAGAAGTGCCCCTGGCTCGAGGTGCCCCAAGGATTCCCAGGGAGGCCTCCACGGCCTCCAGAGCACCCGTCACGAGGCCCACGAGGTGTCCCCGGGATTCCCAGGGAGGCCTCCCCAGGGCCTCCAGAGCACCCGTCACGAGGGCCCAGACGGCCCCAAGGCCTCCAGAAGGGAGCTAGAGGCTGTGGGCACCTTGGGCCCAGCGCGTTCCACGACTCGCAAAGTGCCTACTCGCAAACGTCCGAAAAACAAAAAGCAAATGTCTGTTTCGATAACATGTCTCATGGATCCGCCGCGGCGGATCCGGACTACTTGCGCACAGTTGTTCTGCGAGTAGTGGAGTTCGACTGTCTATCTGAGTCGTTCCCAAAATTGCCTTCCCTTCGAGGATCAAAGGAGATGCCATCTCTTCCTCTGCGCAGGTCGGCGGAAGGTCGGCGAGAGTAAAACGAGGCCGCCTCCGCCGGCGGAAGGGCGGCGGAAGGTGGCGGAAGCAAGACATGCGCCTCCAAGAGATGACAACATTTGTTGGCTCAGGGCTTCCGGAATCTGCCACCTACAGCAACACCCTTGGCTTGATTTAGGGCGGATTTAGGTTGAGTCGGTTGTGTGTTTTTGTGTTTTGATGCCGACGACGATTGTAATGATGGTGGTTATCAAATCGTAGTGCTGATGGTGGTGGCGATGGTGATGGTGATGATGGTGGTGCTCATCACATCCAGAATCACCATCATCACCATCACCACCATCACCATCACAACCGCCCTCACCATACCATCATCACCATCCCCATCATCATCATCATCATCATCATCATCATCATCATCATCATCATCATCATCATCATCATCATCATTATTATCATCATCATCATCACCACCACCATCCATACCATCAGCATCGCCATCACCATCACCATCGTCACCATTGTGGTCGGTAGGACTTGGCTCAAAATAATGTCGTCGTCCGCTGGGGCGGTTTCCCTGAGCCCTCCAGCCTCGTCCTCTCCTTTGATTTCCCCGAGCCCTGCGGCCTCGTCCTCTCCTTTGATTTCCCCGAGCCATGCTTCCCCGAGCCCTGCTTCTTCTTCGAGCCGTGCGGCCTCGTCGAGAGCGGCCCCGTCGAGCGGCCCCGTCGAGCCGCGCGGCCTCGGCGGCCTCGTCGAGGGCAGCTTCGCCAAGCCGTGGCAGCTGCAACAGTTCGGACGCCGATGCTGACGTAGGGTCCGACGCCGACGGCGCCGACGGAGTTGCCGACGCAGCGGGCTCCGAAGAGGCCGACCACACCCCCCCCCCCCCAACCAGGCCCACCATCCGCCCCCGAAAGAGGGGGGGGGTTTGCCCCTCCACCCCCCCGCATTCCCCCGCCGACCCCACCCCCCCCTCTTTCCCGGCCGACCTTCCGTTCCCCACACCTCCACCCCCCCCAGAACGCCTCCTCCCCGATCGAGACCCCGAAAAAAACTCCCCACCCCCGACCCCCCCCGGCGGTCGCCGAACAAACCCATCGCAAGAGAGGAACATCTGGCTCCAAACAGCGGCTCCGACAGCGGCTCCGAAGAGGACAGCGGCTCCAGCAGCGAGGCAGCCGCGGCTGCAAGAGCGAAGGCGAAGTCCGCCCCGAGCAAAGTAGTCGAGAAGTTCCCGCCTTCGTTGTCCATGACCCTGGAGGAGCACGTCGCCAGCCACGACTACCCAAAGCACGTCTCCACCTGCGGCGCTTGCAACTTTTGGAAGAACAAGGATAAGTGGAACGCCTCGATGTCTGCGACGAATCCAGTAACGCCGAAGAGTGAAATTTGGATAGGCTGCGTAGGTGGTAGATTTGCAGTCTGCTTGTTCTGCTCGGCTTTCAAGGGCGCTTGCTGCCATTCCACCATTGGCCAGGGGTCCGCGAGTTTCCAGCGCAAGGGAAACCTCGTGCGCCATGCACAGTGCGAGGGGCGCCAGGCAGCAGAAGCGGCGTGGAAACGGCGGGTTCGAGCGGAAGGTGGTTCCCCACAACGGCTGCATCAGCTGCAGCAGCTGCAGCAGCCGTGGCGCCTGCGCCCGCCGTCGTCCGCAACGCCGACCAGCGCCCTGGCTGCCGCGCAGCGGTCGCCACCCGTGCAATGTTGGAGACAACCAGTTCCTTCAGTAGTTTCGACGTGTGGCGGGGTGCGTTCGTTGGGGGCGACTTCCAAATTTTGGAGTCTAGTCGGCAGCGCCGAAGGCTGGTGACCACCATGGCTCAGCACGAGAAGATCATCACGCAGAGGATCCTCAAACATGGTGCTATTTTTCGTTTGGCTGCGGACGGCCTCGACCGCGCGTGCCAGGTCGAAATCGGCGCCGTGCTGCGGTCGATCCCGAAGGCTTTGGACTTCCTCCCAAGCTACGGTCTCAAGGCAGGCTGGCTGGAACAGCTGGGCCCCAGAGGGCCCTGGATCGTGGATCGGGTGATGGGGATGCGGGAGTTCCCGCGGGGCATGGACTGCGACGGCAAGGCTTCCATGCTGGAGGAGTGCGTCCGTCGCGCGTGCCAGACGGCAGGCGGGGGGCTGGGCGGGGACTTGCACAGGCATGTGCGACAGGAGATTCGGGCATGGCGCAGCGATGGGGCGGATCTAAGTGTACCCCTGGCTGCAACAGCTACGTTCCCTGGGCTGGCGTTTCACGCGTGGGGCGAGTCTCACTCGCCCCAGAAGGTTCTGGCCAATTCGATGAAAGGGGGCAGCGGAACGACGACCGCGGACGAGCTGCTGGTAGCGGGTAAGAAGCCGCCAAGTCTGGCCAAGTTCCTGACTACCTCCACGGTGTACCGCAACACGCTCGGGGAGCAGCAGCTGGTGGAAGACGGCGGGAGCGGCCGGATCTCAAGGCTGCCGCCTCTACCGCCGACCCCAATTGAGCTGTTATTCGTTAGTTGTCGGGGTGCTTTTCCGAGCACGTCGGAAAGGGTTCAGATGAGTCTCCAGATTCTCTGTTGCATCTCGGATTCCTTTTGGTAGCAGTTTTGGAGCCTCGTGGGGTCGCTGTTGGGTTTCTTGGGGGGTTCTTGCAGCCTTCTGGGGCCTCTTGGGTGCCTCTTGTCTTGGGGCCTCCTGGTATTTGTTTTGGCCGTCTTGGGCCATTCGTGGGATTTTTGTAGGGCAGTCGGAACTCTCTTGGAACGCACTCAGGTCCTTCTTGCAGCATTCATGGGGCTCTCTTGGAACCGTCTTGGGCCTCCAAGGTAGAGCATATGAAGCAACCCTTTCACATGTGTTTTTCTGAATGCCTTTTGCCAGTCTGTTGCGGCCCGCTTGGGCCCGACGCGGACCTCTCTGAGGGCTCTTTTGGGGCCTTGTTGGGGCCCTCATGGGCCCTCGAAGTGGAGCATCTGAAACGGCCGATTCAGTTGCTCCACTTTGGTTGGCTTTGGGAACGTCGTGGGCCACCCGAGGGCTTACCATGGGACCATTGAGGCATTCTTGGGACGCCCCCAGAGCCCTCTCAAGGCCCTCATTGGTCTCTCTTGAGGCCGCCCGCCACTGGATCCCCAGAGCATGTGAAAGAGCCCTTTAAACGCTCCATTTTGAAGGCTTCCAGCTGGCCTGTTGTGGCACGCTTGGGCTCAACCCGGACCTCTCTAAGGGCAATGCTGGGTTTTCTTAGGGCCCTCATGGTCCCTCCAAGTACAGCGTCCGAAACTGCTGCTCTGACCCTCCACGATGGTGAGCTTCGTCGCCGCGTTGGTTCCCCAGTGCTTGTCGCGCCTTCTCTGGGCGCCCTGCGACCTCTTGAGCAAGCGGCAGTTGGAAGTGAACCTTTTGGAGTAACGCGTGGCGGAAGCTGGCTTTGGAAGTCATGCGCTGCTGCATGAAACAATATGCGCCTAACTAGCTCGCGTGCCAAAGGCAGTGGCGCATTGGAGCCATCACGGTGCGGAACTGAAACAATGAACTCAGCGCGCGGCCAGCAAAAACATTGAAATCCACATTTGTCGGACGCGGGCAATATGCCCCGGCTCGGGGTCCGTGATGGGGGATGGCCCCATGCTCAGCCGTAGCCATTACCTCTCGAGACGCCTTGCTGTCTTCTTCGCGTGACCACAATGCCGCCGAAAGCGTGCCGTAAGGGATTGGCGGTCGGAAAGCATAGGGCAAAGCCAAGGCCAAGGCCAAGGCCAGGCGGCGAACACACCGAACAAGGCCAAACCCAAGATCGCTGTCGTCACCGAGCCCGTAGTCGAAAGCGAGCCTGGCAGCGCAGAGAAGGTTGACTCCAGAGCCTGGAGCATGCAGAAAGACATCGAGCGGCTCATTAATGATACATTGTCCTTCATCGGTCCTCTTGACATCAAGAACCGTCGTAGCACAAAGGAGGGCTTGACGGTCAAGCAATATTTGCAAGTGGCGCTGGAGGATAACGCGTTGAAGGCTGGCCGCAATGGCAAGCGGCAGTACTTGACAGAGGAGTTTGGGACCGAGATTTTCAAGTAGTCCAAATTCAAGAGGCTGGTTTCCATGGAATTCGCTCCCCTGATCAATCTAATATCTCCTTGGACAACAGTTATTGGGAAGCGATGGGCGTGGCCAACTCCTAGAACCCTAGGGTTCAGAGCGTGGAGCCTTGGTGCGATGTCGTGAACAATTTGAAGGACATCGACGAGGACAGCTTGATTGCCTTGCTTCATGCGTCCACCAACTCCCGAGTGGTCACGATGAAGATGCCCCGCAATATGCAGCTCTCCCGAGCGGGCATGTGTGGCCGGTTGCAAGTGCCCACCCGTTTCCCTGCAGTTTGGCAGGTTGTTTGTGGCAAGCTCGACTCTGTCTTGATTTGGCATTGGCAACAAAAGGCGAGCCAAGACATGTTCATCGATCAGAGAATCTGGGCACAGACCCACCACCACGCGGTGAAGGCCTTCATTGCGGAGGCCGATTTCGACAAGTCCCACGATTGCGCTGACGCGGAAGAGCACTGCCCAGGGCCAGCCTTGCATAGGGCACTCCAGTCGAGCTTGGGCCAGGCCATGTTCTACGACGAGGCGAAGCAGCTCCAGATCAACGCCTTCATTGAGCGATGCCACCAGCGCGCTGGTGACCTCGTCCATTCGGGCTTCACCGACGAGAACATTGAGGGCTACCGCGCAGCAGCGGACGTGGATATCGCGGAATTGGTGAGGAGCGGCCACAAGATGTACAGGCGCGGCAAGGCAGAGGAACGCATTATACTTCTCTTGAATGCGCCAGTGGAGGTGTACCCGCGCTCGCTGAACGACATCAAGGGCTGGATTATCCGTGCCCTTGCTTGCTCACTTGCCGTCTCGAATAGCCAGTTACCGCGGCTCCCGTGGGAGCGCGTCTCGTGGGGAGACGAGGCGCTGCCGCAGTTAGGGGCTACCGAGAAGGTGCCCGACAATTTGATCTTCCATGCTCGCAATTCCAGAGACTTGATGGGGCGCATTGCTGGAGAGTGGGGCCCTGGCCGGACTTTGGCAAAGATGCAGGAGGACATGAACAACCAAAAGGACATCTAGGAGACAGAACGGGTTGCGTGCTTAGATGTCGCATTCGTTGTGCACAAGGTCCACGGAGTCGCCGACGCTTGGGGGCAGGGGCAGGTCATCCAGGCCCTGGCGTCGACGGCGTCTCCGATCGGGGCTGCTTCTGCTGAGGACGTGCTCAAGTGCTTGAAGGAGGTGAGAAAGCTGAGGGGTGATCGTCGCTTCTCGTGCCTCCCGAGCGGCGTCTCCGATGACATCCACGCGATCGAGTCCCTGATATCTGCCATGATGGACGGAATCGCTTCGGGGGCCAGATTGACGACGTCGGGCACCACCATGGACACCATGGCATCGCGTTTGAAGTGCAGCGTGCCAGCGCCCAAGAAGAAGGACAAGCTCAACTCTGTCAAGACGACGCTCGTGGGTTCCGAAGCTGCCAAACACATCTTCAAGCGGGTGGAGGACGAGAGCCCCGAGAAGCGCCAGGAGTCCTGATTTAGCTATGCTCCGCAACTTCAGCTGGTTGCTCGGGCCCCACTTGCGCGATAAAACAAACGTGTATCGGTGTGGTGATCCGGCAGGCCCGAGCTTCCGTCGTCGCCGTTGGCATGATCAAAGACGGTCCCGCCGCTGACGCGTCGGGGTTCTTCGCTGCGTCGAGCGGCAGCGCTGGCCGCCCGAAAGGGGCGGCCTCTGCGATCGCAGCGAAGAGTAGCCTGCCGGCGGGGCCGCCGGCCAAGAAGGCCAAGACGAGCGATGAGCGAGGGCCGCCATGAGGGAGAATATGATGAATATGTGCATGGGCGTGGCGTGAGGTCAGCCTCTTCGACGTGGAGCCGCGCCTGCCTCGTCTGGCGCCCGCGCTGGGGCAGCCAGTCCACGGGGTCGGACTGCGCCCGCTGCGATGCGAGACAGCGAACGCCTGCCAGGCGGTTGCGCAGGGGCTTCTCGAGCCTGGAGCTTAGCGCGAGACGGATGTCTGGATCGCGCGCCCGTTGCGCATCGGGCAGCAACGCGCGTTGGAGGGATCGCGGCCAATCGCGGCCCCCCCGCCCGCGGGCGCCCCTCGAGGGCGGCCGCGTGCGCGCCGCGCCACTGCCAACAGCAATGGCATCATCATCGCGATCGTCATCGCATCGTTACCGTCGCTTCTTCGTCGTCGCACACGTCTTCGCCGCCGAGCGCCCGCGGGGAGAGGCGCTTCGGAGCGCGAGCTGGGACAACATACAGTACTCGCAGAGGGCAGATCGCAAACCGACAATAAGTCGGTAAATCGGAGAAGCGCCAGGACCAGCAGCAAACTATCGGACAAAAACACGGCTTGCCATCTCGGGCCATGCAAGCATTAAACTTCGAAGATTCCCGCGTCCCAACCAGCCAGTCCAGAAGCGATGCCCTTTGGAGCCGCCATCTTATGGCCGCGTTGGGAGACGCGAAGGCCCTCTTCCGTCTCCTGGGGCCCCCTTGAGTCTCTCATTGGGCCGCCGTGGGTTTTTTGGAGGGACCTTGCGGGTGGCGTCTGCAGCTCTGTTGATCAACGAAGAGGGCTGCGTCGACTTCCGTTTCTCCAGATGCCGAGCGTTAGTTTGTCGGGGCCCTCTCGGGGCGCCCTTCGGGAGCTGCTGCGCGCGATTGGGGCCATCTCGGGCCCCCCTTTTTAAGGCCCTTCTTGGGGTTGCGTCGGGGCGCGGCGGGGCCGTGCTACCGCGTCGGAGGCCCGTCGGATGCAAGGGGGCCCAGGTGACAGAGTTACCCGATATATTTGTAGGTTCTCTGACGCGTCGGGCCCGCTAGGGCTTGTCTGGGGCGTATCGGATGGCATGTCGGATGCACTTTCGTCGGCTGCGCGTAATTTGCGTTGGATACCATCTTTGGGCGTCGGGGGCCGTCTCGAACCGTTCGGGGCCAGCGGGGGCCCTCGAACACTTCGCGCGTCCCTGCATCTGCGCATGGGCGGGGGGCGGTAGGGGGATGGGTCGGCGCCCCCCCGCGCAGTAGGGGCGGGGCCGCGGGGGAGCGCGTCGAGATCTCCGTGGGCCACGCGCGGCCCGGGGGCCAATCGGACGCCGCGACGGAGTCAGGGGAGTTGCGGCTGCGCTCGGCGGGGCGCCCCGTCGTTCAAAGCGAAACGAACAGTTGGCAACCCCAAATCATCATGGGCACATTTAATCTGGGCAGGCGCGGGGGGGGGAGAGGGCTATGGGGGCGCGTGCCAAGAAACCTGTTGGATTTTGCCAGGGTGCCTTGGGTGTCTTGGATTTCAATTGGCCCCCAGTCAGATCTAGGCGATTTTCGATCGACGCGCGTGGATTTTCACTGAGGATTTCATGTCGGGCTTCTCGCGGAGGTTTCTTGTGCATGAGCTCGCCGGGTGTGAAAATCACGCTGCGGCGAAAGAGACAGTCGCGTTCACGGGGTCAGGCAGTGCTCGTCGACGCAAGCGGGCGACCGAGAAGGGGGCGGGAGGGGGGCGGACGGAGGGCAGAGAGGATGACGAACATAGCGAACACAACGCGTTGACAAGGAGAGCTGTCCGGGTCGGAGGGCTGGTAGTGAACGGGCGGTGACCGCCGAGCCGTGCTACACTGAAGTGGAGACATGCAGTGGCCCCAGAGTCAGGCAAGACGGGGAAAGGACTACGGTGAAAGGGGGATTCGAATCAGGCAAGGGGTTTGGCTATTGTAGTGGCCTTCGGCCAGTGCCGCCGATCCGGGGCGCTCCGACTGATGTGATCCTTCTTCGCCCTCGTCCCTCCTCTCTTTTTCCCTCCCCTCCTCTCACTCAGCATTTATCGAAGACGCCTACGGCGAATCACCGCCGCCCCCTGCCTTTTTGGAAGCGCCTATGTGGCCGAACGTTGAGGCCAGACCTGCCAAGCTATCGGACCACGTGTTCCCCGAATCGGTTTGGAAAGCCTTCGGGGAACACGTGGGCATCTTGAAGGTCATCTTGGCCGTCTTGGAGGCCTCTTGGGCAAGCTTTGGGCGATCTTTGGGGCTTTTTGGGCCGTCTCGGGCCAGCTTCGAGCCAACTTCGGCCATCTTGGTGGGTTCCTGGCACGTCTGAAGCCGTCGGAAGCCGTTTGGGGGGCCTCTATGGGCCGACTTGGGGCCCGCTTGGAATGCTCCAGGGCCGTCTTGGAGGCCATCTTGGGCGTCTGGGAGGCCATCTTGGGCGTGTTGGAGGCCTCTTGGGCCCTCTTGGGGCCCTCTAGGGGCCATCTTGGAGGCCACTTGGGCCATCATGGGGCTCTCTTGGGGGCCTCTTGGGCGATCTTTGGGGCTTCTTGGGCCGTCTTGAGCCGTCGGAGAGCCGAAAAGGCGCAAATGCCAAAATCCTTCAAAAACCAAGGGAACATCAATGATTTTGGCTCTTCGGACTCTCCTGGAGACCTCTTGAGGCCTCTGGGCCGTCGGGACGCCTCTGGGGGCCTCTTGGGCCGTCTTGGGCCGTCTTGACTCTCTTGGGCCGTCTTGGAGGCCGTCTTGGACCTCTCGGGCGGACTTGGAGGCCATCTTGGGCCATCTTCTTCGCGATTTTTTGAGGATGTCCCGAGCGAAACGGCCGGTTTTTGGGCATTGACAGACGGATTTTCGGAAACTTGCGGGTGGCCGGCGGGACGGGCCGAAGCCCACTGGGGAGTTCTTTTAGAAAAAGAAGCAAAACCAAAACCTGAACGTCCAGCACGCCGTGCACCCCTGCAAGCAGGGGGCGGCGGATCCAGTGGCCGTCGGCCTATCCCGCCACCGTGCGTGGGTGGTGGGTCAGAGGCCTCATGGATGCTGGTTGGGATCTCGTGGTTGGCTGGGACTTCTGGGGGCCTCTTGGGCGCCTCTTGGGGCTTCTTGGGGGCCTCTTGGGCCTCTTGGGGCCACTAGAGGGCCTCTTGGGGGTCTCTTGGGAGCCTCTTGGGGCTTCTTGGGGGCCTCTTCTGCGCCCCTTGGGGCCTCTTGGAGGCCTCCTCGGAGCCTCTTGGTGCGGGAGGGGTGGCACTCGAGTTCGGAACCCCCTCGGAGGCCACGATCCTTGTGAGGGGTGTCAAAAAACGCATCCGCCGGAAACTCGCACCCCGCCCCCCACCCCCCCTTCCCCGGCAGAGCCACCCCGGCAACCCCCCCAGTGGCTGAGGCTCAGCCTCGAGGCTGTAGCTGAGACTCCTTGAAACTCACACGCCGGATCGGCGGATTTCTCTTCCTCTTCGTCGTTCTCGCCTCCGTTGCCCCGCGAACTCTTCTCCCTCCTCTTCAGATTTGTTTGCGGAGGCTCCTCCGAGGCGAGCTTCTGGAGGACCTCGCGAAAGCTTTTAGGGGGTTCCTTGGGCGCCTCTGGGGACGTCCCTGGCGACTTTCGGCGGCCTGCAAGGGGTTCCTCGGGCCACCATGCTGCGAACCGTGGTCCCGGGTCACAGTTTGAATACTTCCAGAGGGCGTTTTGGGGCAGTTTTGGCCCGTCATGGGGCCCTTCTGTGGCCAGTTTCTGAGCTCTCTTGAGCCGGCTTGGGGCTCTCTTGGACTGTCAGGAACCTTTTTTTCGGTCGTCTTGGAGCGGTTTTCGGTGCCTAGCCCTTTGGGGAGAAGATATGTGTGCCGCAATCGAGCGTCTGGCGGGGGTCCAGGGCCGCTGGAAGCCATCTTGGACCGTCTTGGGAGTCTCTTGGGACCGCCGCCGACCCGTTTTGACGGCTTGGAGAGGCTTATAAACTTCGCGGGACCTTCTGAGGGGGAGCCCAGGCGCCTTGGGTCATGGGGGTCCCGTGTAAGGGGGGGGTGGGGGGAGGGGGGGCGGGTTCCCGCATGACCCATAAGTAAAATCGACGAAAGGGAATTTGAACACATGTATAGTTTCGGAGCCGATTTATGCAGCACGATGGCGAATACCACGTCGTCGCGGGCACTGTGACAGGGCGCGGCATGTGGAGTACAGTCAGCGCGCCTAGTAAGGACGCGCGCATTCATCTAGGGTGCTCTTGTGTCCTTGCCTCTGCGGCCCGCCCCTTGCCTGTTTCGCTGGTCGCCCGCCGCCCCCGAAAAATCCCACCTTCGGTCTCCAAGGGTCTCGCGTCCTCACCGCACGCCCTTCACACACACACACACGCACACACACACACCCACCCACGCACGCACGCACGCACGCACGCACGCACGCACGCACGCACACACACATACACACACTACGACTGTGTTCATGGCAAGCTCTGTAACATGGGTCCGAAAGAAATCCCGGCCGCAGTTCTCAACAGCTTAGTGGACAGCACCGGCGCGACCCTGGGTGGCATCCTGGCCAGGATCCTCCTCGCCCTGTCCCTGCTTATACAGCGCGAAGCACGTACCTGTCTGTACCCGTACGGGGACGCCGATGGCATCGGGGACGTGATCGAGGCCATCCTCGGCTTGTGCGAGCCGCACCGCCCACGCGACAAGACTGCTCGTGACCAGTTGGGCGCGCTGTTCGGACTCCAGTGGAAACGCTGCAAGCAGCTGCACTCGGCACTGGAGCTCCTGATCACAGCGGTGTCCCGCTTAGTCACGGTCGCCCATCACCACCCCCTGGCCAGGAGTGCGAACTGCCCCGCGACCTGGGAGGGCCTAGTGGCTAAGAAATTCCCGCTCCAGGCCACCCTCGCAGTCATCGAGGGCACCGTGTCCACCGCCAACCTGTCAGCCTTGGCGGTCCACGAGTGCGCCGTATGTGCACTCTACGTCGACGTGATCGGATCCGACATCGGCCTCACCAACGACCCGACCAAACAGGCAAGCAGCGTCACCTGGATCGGTTGAGGATACTCATACTCGCGCCTGCACCTGGACGCACCCGCCCCGCTCGGGCCACGCCCCGGAGTGACACTGAGGCCCCCGTGGTTAGACAGCCGAGACACCAGGTGGAGGAAGGAACAAAACAAGGCTCACTTCTGCTGCCAAGGGTGCCTGCGCGGCCCCTTCAAGCACGATAAAGGCGCCTACGTCAGCAAATTAATTCGCCAAACCATTAACGTCAACAGGCTGACGGAGTATTACCAAGGGAAGGG